TTAAAGGTGCCACAGGACCCTCTGTTGCTTTTTACAGATTCAGACTAACACGGCTCCCCCTCTGATACTTAAAAACATAAATTCATTAAGCTTCCCAACACCTCTATATGGTAGAGAAGAAGGGAGGGAAGGGGGGGTACTGAAGCGCAGAGGTGTTAAGTGACTTGCCCAAGGTGAGATCCCACAGTGAGTCCAGACACAATTGGTAACAAAACCCGATCCCATCTCCTCTAATGATATTAGACTCCCACACTTCCCCCCAGGGCTGGTTACAGGACCCAGGAGTCCTGGCTCCCGTCCCAGCCCCCTGCTGTGGCCACTGTGTGTCACAGCCGGAACCAGGACCAAGGCCTGGGCCCCCTTCCCGCCCTGAAGCTCTTTGAGGTGCCTTGGCCGGGGCACTGACTGCGGGGGGGACCCCCGCCCGCGCGCCAGCCCCTCCCGCGCCCCATGAGCCCCGGCAGCCGCGTGCTGCGCCCGGCGGCGGCGGCTCTGGGCGCTTGCGCAGTGCGCGAGCCCCGGCGGCGGGCGGCGGAGTCTGGGCGGAGCCGAGCGGCGGGACGGAGCATTGTGCGTGCGGCGCAGCCAGCCGGGCCGGGCCGAGCTCCGCATTCTCCGCAGCCGCCGCCGCCCCGTCCCCAGCAGCATGTCGGGCCGGTCGGTGCGGGCCGAGACCCGCAGCCGGGCCAAGGATGACATCAAGCGGGTGATGGCGGCCATCGAGAAAGTGCGCAAATGGTGAGCGGGCCGCGCCGGGCTCCGGCCCCTCCCCCGGCCGCGCCAGCCGCGGCGCTGCGCCCCTGCCCACCCCCGCGCGGGGCCGGAGCCCGGCGGGCGGGGAGCCGGCTTCACCCACAAGCCATTTCGCTCCTGCGAGTCACGCGAAGGCGGCGTGTGAGGGGGGGGAGAGGCGGCTAGCCACAGCGGGCTCCATTGTGCGGCCGAGCCCCCGGCCCGCGTCCTTCCCCGCTCTGCGGCCGAGTCCCCCCGGTACCCCCCGGGCCCATGTCCTCCCTCCTCCTGCTCCCTGACCCCTCCTTCATTCGCTTCCCCCCTCCTGCCCCAAACCCCACTTGCGTGGTCTCCCTCGCCTCCTTCAGCTCACCCCTCCCATCGCCCCTTGCTGCCCTTGGTCCTAGTTAGGTACCGTGGGTCCGTGGTTGGCCCCGTTGCCGAGACCGTCCCGTGCCCTCGATCTCTGTCTCACCCCCTCTTCATGCTGCCTCAGAGTGTATATCTTCTACCCCCCCCCCCGATCCCATCCTAGGGGCTCTTGCAGAGTCATGGGGGTGCGGGCGTGAATGCAACGCTTCGGGGTTTGTGAAGTGGGGTGTCATCCCCCAGAATCAAAGAAGAGCGGAAGGGGCCCGGCAGGGAGCGGTGCATGGATGGGAGCAGATGTAGTAGGCATGAGTCAGACCCCTACTGTCCTTAGTTCCTTACAAAAGAAACCCGTTTTCCCTTCTCTGAAATTTCCCTGTCAAAAACAGGGACGGGGATGAGGTTTTAAAAAGTATTATTAGTGAGGCTCTTTAGGGAAACACATTTTGAAATGCCTTGTAATGTTGCAGAAATAATCATGATCTTCGTCCGTAAATCAAAAAGGTGTTGTTTATTTTTTCATGCTTGAGAGTTGGGTGAAAACAAGTAGTAAAACCAGGATCTTGTATTACAAATCCCAATAGACGTTCATTTTTTTTTAAAAGCTTCAAAGATCACACACAAGCAAATCAGATGTGAACAAAAGTGTGTTATTTTAACATTCTGGTGGTTTTAAATCCTGAGTGGAATTGGAGAGAGAGATATAATTGGTACTTGAATTTATTTTAGATTGCATAATTAAAGGTTGTACCCATAGTAAAATAATCCCCTTTTATTAAACCTTAGAAGTGTTTTGGCATTTTATGCTTTTCTCTTTCCTAGTTTTATTATGAAAATCAACATGAAGTAGTCAAACAATACAGTAGAACAGTTATTGTAGCACAATACACAGTTTCGTTTTTTTTGGATGGGATAAAGAGCAGTGTCAATGTGACTCAGGAAAGAGTTACTTTGTTCAAATGGCTTGACCTTGAATGTTCAATAGCTTTTGTATATCTATCCTAAAATGCCTTTTTTTAAATGTATGAAAGACACAGTAAATCCCAGGGACCAGTTTTAATCTGCATAACTCATATATTTGGAATAGGATAAAATGAAGGTTCCTGTTCTAAAGTTATAAATTACATAACAAATTGATTTAACAAAAGATTAAAATATAGAAATAAATCTGCATTTTTCTCTTGTTCTCTCCCTGAACTGGATTGTTGCCATTTTAAAGCCCTTGAACTCTGTGAATAGGCTGGTTGGCTTGAATCGGACAAAGAAGCAAAACATGTGTCCACTAATGCAGGACTTGGGAAGGGGATTTCAAAGTAGGAATCCATCTATTGTGTTGGGAGCTGAAGCACTCAGTGTTATAGTCTGATGATAGTACAGAGTTCCTGAAATAATACTTCTACTATGTATTTTTTTAATGCTCTTTGCTGACTGGCTGATTAGTATTGAGGGGGTCAAACACAATAGGTAGAGAGATGTGACAGTACTTTCTCTCAGTGGTAATGTAGCTGGATGCTTGTTTTTTTGTTTTTAATTTCCTGATATTTCATTAAAGAGAACTGGTACTTGTTTCCTTTAAATAATACTATGCAGAGTACAGGAGCGAGAGGAGTTTGACTGTGCTTGAAGAGAAGGAGAGGCAGGAGTTTGATCTTTTCTTCATGGCCAACAAATTAAAATAAGAGAAGCTAATCTCTTTTTGCAAGTGTTTTCTACCGTCACAGCAACTGTGCACAAATATTAGCCTGGCTTGTTGTACCAAGAGTAAAGATTTTAGGATTCAAATGGAATTTGTAAATTTAAATCCTCACAGGGTAGATTGTTTAAGGCTGACTTTACAGAATTACTGAAAGCTCTTATTCTGACCATTGCCAGATTTATTCGTGTGACTTCTTGCATGAAGGTCTGACCAGTACTTACATAAACCACTTAGTACAAAGACATTTTTCACATGAATCTGTTGGAACTCATTGTTTTGTTAACAAATCTCATGTCTCTTTGTTCTTGTTTCTCATCCCCATAGGCCATGTAGAATGTAAAGGCACTGAGACATTAAATGTTTTGAGTTATGTGACAAACATTTTTGAGAAGAAGCTTGTTGTGAATTATGAGATTTATACACCAGCCTCACCCAGACCTTGTCAAGAGCTACATATGCAACTTGCAGGGAGAGTGAGTACCACACCTAATTTGTTATAACTGGGAGCAATTTGTTGCCATTCACATCTTTACTGTGGAAATGCAACCACTGGAGCTGAAAAGTCCCAGCGTGAGTGCTTCCATTATTTGGATCAAAAATGGAGCATTACATAGTTGGACTGTAGCATAACATAAGAATATAAACCTAAAAATGGCCATACTGAGTCAGGCCAGTGACCAGTACCAGATGCTTCAGAGGGAATGAATAGAACAGGGCAATTTATAAAGTGATATATCAGAGTATGCACACAATGTGCCCAGCCATTTGATTGTGTCATCATCAGCCAGGTGGAGAGCTGGTAACCTGCTGTCAAAATAAGTCAGTGGGCTCTTGTCAAGGATATGTGAAATAGTCTGAAGTTGACCGCAGCTGTATTGCAGGTTATTAGAAAAACCCCATTTAAAGAGATTGGCCACACAGGTGCCCTGTCCTATTTGAAATGGGGTCAGAGATGACCTCCAGATGTCTTGGCAGATCAAAACCTGGTGGACAGATGGTTGGGTCAGTGATGAGAGAGTGATTAACAACTGTTGTCACTGTCCTCTTGTTGCGTCAAGCAGATTCCACCGTCATATCCTGTGGTGGCACAAATGACCATAAAGGGCATCTAGAAGACAGGTGAGCTGGCAGGTGGTTGAAGGGTCTGTGTACAAAGGCAGGTTGCTATTCTCACGGATCTTGGCCAGCAGCCTGACAGATGCCTTCTCACGGCGAATTTGTGGTGGTGCTGTGTTGTTAAGTATCGGTAGTCACGGCAACGGAGTTGCCCATAAAGTCCTGGTAACAATACGCATAGCTTTGTTAAGCTCTACATCGTCCAGCCTCGTGTGAGATGAGCGACACCAAACAGGAACACAGTACTCTGCTGTTGAATAGCAGAGGGCAAGGTCTGATGGTCTAAGAATCCGAGTGCTTGCACTCCAGGTTGAACTGGCCAATTTTCTGAGGAGGTTGTTCCAAATGCTGACTTTGGCTGCAGTCTTCCTCAAGTGGTTGTGGTACGTTAATGACCTATTCAATGTCACACCGAAGTAAACTGGGTTTGGATCATGCTGCAGGCATTGGCCGTTGAGAAAAATGTTTAACTCGTATGTTGCGCTTGCATTATGTAGATGAAATACACTAGAAACTGTTTTGGAAAAGCTTGGCTGTGATTACCATCGACTAAGAGAGTTTGCCATGAGTTTCGTATCATCATTCAAGATCTTGTCAATTTCTGAGAGAGACTGAGTTTGGTAGCTGCAGCAGATATCATTGGTATAGATAAACTTGCGTAAGAATGTAGCTGGCAGGTCGTTGATGTGCACATTGAACAGTATCAGTGAAAGAACTGAACCTTGAGGAAGGCTGTTGATCTGATGCTTCTAAGAGCTGCAGCAGTTGCCGATGTGTATTCTAAACCTCCTCTTTTGGAGAAGAGCTCTGCTACCTTGACCACCCAACGCGGGGCAACTTGGGAGAGTTTAAACAAAAGGCTTCTGTGCCAAACTGTGTCATAGGTGGCAGTCAGATCCAAGAAGATTGCTCCCGTCTTTAGATTTTGTTGAAAACCATTTTCGATAAAGGTGGTCAAGGCCAGGACTTGATCATAGGTCCTGCGTCCTTTCCTGAACCCTGCCTGCTTGATCTGCAAGAAGACATCCAAATCTGGAGTGATTCGTTGGAGGCTCAGACTCTCAAACACCTTGAAAAACACTGACAGCAAGGATATGGTATGGTAACATGACACATTGTAGGGGCCCTTGCCTGGCTTAAGAATGGCAATAATCTTTGCTTCGTGCCAAGTGCATGGTAATTTTTTCTCATTAATGACCCGTATATAGAATTAAATAAGCCATTGTGATGCCTTTGGTCCAAGGTGTTTGAGGAATTCCAGCAAGGTGTTAGGCACAGCAGTGGGCTATGATATCTTGATGGAATTAAGGGCCCTCTCTAGCTCGTCGACCATAAATGGATCTGGTTGACTCTTACCCCACATTCTGATATCAGAGTAGGCACCATTTGTTACATACTTTGCATTTGAATTGCTTCTCCAGTGGGACCTTTGCTACCCACAGAAAATGGCTTGCAACCTCACTGGGCTTAACCTGTGGGCAATTTTGACCTGGAGGTTGTTGAGCAGCGCCCAGCCGCGGATCAAGTTCCAGCACTTCTGACTGGAATAAATGAAGTGAAGCTTCTCTCTAGATTCCTTCCACCAAGTAAGCCTGGTAGCATCCAGAGACTGAGTCAGGTGATCAACAATGTCGGAGTCACCAGATAATTCAAATTTCCTGAGCAAGTCTTGGCGTTTGGCACTCAGGCAGGGAGTGTAAATTGGACAACAGCCCCGTAGTATAGCTGAGCATGTGGCTTTATCAATGACTCCTTGGAATCGGCGTCAGGCTTCGTCGACTGGCATACAATGCGACGGAATGGTAACCACAGTAAGTTCCAGTGG